TTATAATAAGTAAGTTACTCTTTGTCTACACTAAAATTTATCTAGAAACTAGAAATAATTTATATGACAAAACAACGTTTGCCCGGTTAACTAGTATATATATAACATATGGTACTCAAGGTTTCAGACCTCACTATTTAAGAAATAAGCCACGAGGCGGCGCTAAGGTAGATACTTTACTAGCGTATAGAACAAACTCATGAGTATTTATTTTTACTGTTTTGTACTATAGATATTAAAAATTAAACGATAACTGGCACCATCTATGCGCCACATGAAAAAACTCCATAATTAACACCAAAGTTTTTAAAACGTTCTTATAAGCTTGTTGTATATTTACAACATGGAGAATTTCATCCACATGGTATGTCGACTTTAAAATATTTCAACTCTTCACTTACACTTGCTTTTTTGTATTGTATTCAAGTTTTTTTTGTTGTACAGTTATTCATAAAAAAGATATAACAAATTTAGCAACGTTAGGCATTGCTTTGAATTTTTGCTACTCTAATTTTCATATTGAGTGTAGTCACTCGTTCTAATGATGAATTAGAACTACCATTGTAATTTGTCGTAAAATGCAAATCCATTTTAAGCAGTGCACAAAATTCAGCAAACAATATTATTTTGCGGTCGGGTCAGGGACATACGTAATACTCCTGGGTACAACATGAAAACAAGACAATAACTGTTAAAACTTTGTGTTTCTCGAAGCAAAAATTTCTATGTAACTTACTTCTTTTGACTTCTTTGCAAACATTGGTGTAGATAATTCTAGATGAAAATGTTTTCTTGCACATTTACCAACTATGCAAATGTAGCATTCGTTCATGAATTTATTAATTTGTGCTTTCATGTTAAGTCAATAATATTTCAAGGTCAAGTGGTTATATGTTTCATTTATGCCATTGCGGTTTTATTGGTTATAGTTTTGAATCATTTTGATTTGATCTTTTGATGTTACGACGCAAATGGGTCACGTCCACGTGTTTAAAGATTAGTCAGTTGTTAAATTGATTAATTGGACGTTTGGAATTGCATAGTGTGATCTGGGCTGTTCGGGTTTGCTAAATGTGTATCATGGACAAGATCTTCAGGTCCTTTTTAGGATCAACATTAGGCAGAATTGATGTGAGATCAAGTTCATTTAATTAGATCGCAATTTCTTCAATGTCAATTTCTACTCGTGATAATGCGTCGGCAACACGATTTTCTTTGCCTTTCTTGTATTTAATTTGGAAACTGAATTCTTCCCATTTTATACGTCACTAAAATAATTCAAGTATTTTAACGAAAACAGACACATGAGTGGCTTGTGATCCGTTTCTATGAATCACCAATTGCCGAAAGATCACTCTCAATTGTAATGTAGTTTCGCTAGTATGTTGTATGAAATTGTACTATGTAGTTTTCGTTATTTTGGTTTTTTTGTGGGGATCCTCGACCAAAATGTATTCCAAAAATTCCCAGCTAACCAAAAATGTCCAGTCTACCTACAATTACTTCACTTTATTGTTGTAAAAACAGTTGTAAATAATTTTTATTGCACCGTTCCTTAAATTTTGAAATTCCCAATACTTAAGTTCCAAGTAAAGTTGGTCATAGCTCTAAACCCAAATTTTCCTTTCCCAATACTCCACCAATCAGCAATCGCCAAACTCCTACCCTTGCTTCTGTTATGATTCGATTTCCAGATTGTATTAATATTTTTAGTTCTTGAATTCTTGCCGGTCTCCACAAAATTATTGTCAGTGTTGGTGTTCTTCTTCTTTATCTCCACGTTCCATTCCTGCTCCTTGTGAACGTCTACGCTCATATCAACTGGCGTAGTCCGTAGGATCTAGAGATTGGATCCAGAAAAGAATATACACTCCAATCCTCCGTAACTACGAGAAATGTACTTCAACACGTCAAATTGATACAACCGTAAGCCTAATGCTTTCTTTTATTATACGATTTATATTTGGTCTTTGTTTGTAATCCGCGTATAGTCGTTAAAATTATATTTTAAAAACTTAACCAAATGGGTGGAAATGTTGGTGAACAATCAAAATCTGCTTCACCACCAGTTCATAAGTACAATTCAAAATTATAGGTACTCAAGCTGCCTTTGTTAATTTTATCACTCATGGAATCTAAACTCAAAGGTGTTGTGCGTGCACAAACTAGATTTACCAAATTTAACAATTGTTTAAAAATTGCCTGATAAACTTATTTGGAAACAGACGAGATACTTCCCAGATATTAAAATAACTAAATCATGTAAAACAATTAAGAAATGAGAACGATCAAATTTTTTATCATAAAATAAAAGAATTATTAACAATAGCTTTAAACAAAGTTCAAGGAAATCCTGTTCATTAATAAATAAAGAATTTATGATAAATGAAATTGCATTGCTCTTGATTATTCTTAACTTGTATGACGCTAAAAAAACAACAGGAGATATTGTATACATCTGAAAAAGTGCATATAATGGATCTCGTCGAATAAAATTTATGCTATAGTGCGTGATGAAAAATTGTTGACAACATTCTGTAGGTCAGAGAAATTCTCTAAAGAGTTGTTCATCAGTTTAACAAAAACTTTTGAACTGTGAAAATCTACAATTTTTTGACTTCAGATAAAATGTTGGCGAGTGTGATTTTTAGTGATGATAACCCAAAAAAAGAGAGAAAGATCAAGCGAAAGTGAAGATGAAATATGTAAAACTAGAACTAAGGTTGATCAACCACCTAAAAAAAACTTCAAAACTTCTTTACACTTAAAAGGATTAAAGGTGAGAAAAAAACAATATGTGTGTAAAAAATCAAAAGTGACAAAAAATATTAGCTGAAAATATAACATTACTTCCGGTATGAAGAAGCATTTACAGTCGGCTCATTACGAAGTAATTTATGAGAACTTAACTTCAATTCAAAAACCATTGTCAGCGAGTCAAAAAAAATTGACAGATGTTTTCTGAACACGCATTTTAATTTTATTTCAATCTCAAATAACTTAAACAATATAACTAATGAGAATAATTTTGATTTTATTTATATTTGCAGCAATTTTTGTCCAGTTTGTTTTTTAATTATCGTTTTGACTTCAATAACATAAAACCTCTTAGTATGTACTTGTAATAAAAAATATTGGTAGACTTGTAAGGACTTAAAAGAATATTATATTTTAGAATAAATTATCACCGAAGGATTATGAAGCTATAATTGAGGAGTGGATGGCGAGGAAAAAATTGCCCTTGAGTTTTTTCGATGACGATGATTCTCAAAATATTTGTCATATTTTAAATCCCAACATTAGTGTACCTCGACGTTATTGCGCTCGGCGAATGGTGATGGAGCATTTTCACAAGCAACGAGTGAGAGTCAAGGAAACTTTGAACTGTTCTAAATTTTCATTCTCTGACAATGGTTGGATTTCTATGGACTTCAGATCATATTACGGCATAACTATTTACTTCATCGATGATAATTGGCAGCTACAATGTTTAGCTTTAGATTTTATTCCTTTTTGTGGTCGACATAGTGGAAAAGATATCGCGGAAGTATTTTTATATGCACAAACGAATACGGGTTAGAGAATAATATTCAAGGAATAACCGTACTTTTATGGGTGAATTAAAAATGTTGATGGAAAAAAATGATCAATTGTTCTGTTATATAAATCAACAGTTTTGTTGGTTTGTCCATATTTTGAACCGTAGTGTTTAAGATATTATGAAAATGTTGACAGTAGACCTTCAATGTGAGAGTAATATTCCGTACACTGAAGTAGACAATGTGGATGATGACGATTTATATGAAAAAATATTTGTTAATTACGCAGTACTTTTATTAAAAGTCTGAGCAATTACAAAATAATTTTACCGTTTGTAAAATACAACAACAAAATATATTATATTAGTTTTAGATGTTAAGTCTACATAGAATAGAATTCATGATATCATTGAAGTAGGAATCAATTTTTAAAAAATTGCTTAAATGTATTTAGGTTAAGTCTGGAAATAAACGTATATATTAAAACTAAGTGAAAATGAGTGGTTATTACTTGAACAGATATATAATATATGGGCAGATCCATTAATTCTCGACGAAAGTGTGCGCACTCAAGTCGGCGATATTGATACCGATTTTTCTCTCAAAAGTACACCTTATAGGAAGACGATTTTGAAAATTTAGGTTCGATATAATCAAATATGGCCGCCAGAGAATTTTTTGAATTTTAATAAAAGTCGATTTTTTACTGATTTTCAATAATTTATATCTCAGCTTTTATTCAATTTAAAGGTTACTACCAAACGGCATTCTTCTTAGTAGACTCTCTACATTTAAAAAAAATTGAGATACTCAGAGCGAAACATGTCAACTCAAATATATAAATGTAAATCCACAAAATCACGTATAACTATTAATAAATAAATATACAAAAATGGATTACGTATTCAACATTGAAAGTAATAAAATATGTATATCGTCAATATAAACAATACAAAATTAATACCGATATTCTCGTAAGATATTTTCCGTTACGCGTTGAAATGTGCTGTGTCGCCGTGTGAGCCTTTAAGCCGAAGGGCATTCAGCGATATGCATAATAGCCATTATTCACAGAAACAGCCAAATAATATATTACGGAGATTTGCATTGCAGGACCGGAAATAAGAATTGAATTTTATGCGCCGATATCTAACAGAATTATTAAATTAAGCAAAGTTGTGATTATGTAATGCAATTGAACTTAATTGGTAATATTATTTAGATAAAGTTTTATTGTTGGTACGAGACTTGTACTGGAAAATTTATGTCATCGCCCGGTGTGTTATTTCGTTTACTTACCTTATAAAACTTATTTTGTTTATAACTATAGTCACGCAGAGAAATTCAATAATATTGTTTGTCCCATACATATGGGATGTGGGACCACCTAATCTAATTAACGAAACAAAATTTAAAAAAAAATTTAAAAAAACTAAACCAAAATCATTTGTTATCGCTGGGCTTAGAGGTATGAACTTAGTTGCACTGGAATAGAATTGATAAACAAAATAAAGGGAAACACTACAGAGTGATTGATGAATGCATAGGATACTCTACGTTGGTCAAAACAAAGCAAAACCAGACAAAACTTGGTTTAGATGTAGTCACCTCGCACAATCGGAATTTGGCTCAAACCAAAATCCAGTATTGTCTATTATCTATTTTCTAGCATTATACATTAAACTGAACAAGTATAATTATTCTGCATCACTCATTCACTTGGCGCAAGACAGCAAAAAATGAGGCTGCTTTCTTTATAAACTGAAACAAACAAAAATGTCAGAGATATACGGCGGGGTTTTTACATCAGCAAGTGCGTCACGGAAAACCCCGACTCGCGGTCAATCTCATTTTGCGGTATTTTCAAAACAAACCATTGACCACATTATTTGCTAGTTGGTTTTTGTCACCTTGTATTGCGTGTGGCGATGCAACTCACGCTATTAATGCACTTTACCGCCCTCACTGATTTAACTGATCAAAAAGGTCAATAAGGAATAAACAATAGTCTTAACTAAGGAACCTTTAGAAAAGATTCACCAAAAAAGTTTCCCGAAAACCCTGTCCGCTTATCAAAAAAGCGGGGCGGATACTATAACTGTTTTGTACTTTTCAATTCGGGACACTTTTTTAAAGTAATCTCATACAAATCAGTGGTGATGTGCTACGAATGATTTTTCAAACAGTTTAAACAGTTAAGAAAGCCAAGCATTAAAAAATGTATATAATTAATAAGTTACGGTTAAAGTTGTGGGGGCAGGTAAATATGCACATTTAATTTGCGTTAAAAATATGATATTATTTTAAGTAGAAAATTAACCGTGAATTTATTATTCTTACCTCCATACAAACCTCCAAGGATATTGGCATTAGTTTCCCAGCTTGAAGGTAGTTGTTCTTCGCCACCCGCATTTGCAAAAATTTGAAGTCAAGCAAAAAGTTTCTGTCACAGATATACCAAGGCATTTTGAACAAGATTGTTCGTAATTCCTCCGCCTAAAACACAGCAAGCTAAAATCAGAGAGCATTATATACCAATTAAAGCTTAAATTTATGCACTTTTCCTTGATATCCATGCTTTATTCAAGCAACAGTCTTTGTTCAATATCATCTTTATTTGAGGTGATAAATACGCTTCTACGTTTTACTAAAATAGAGAGATGAAAATGCCACTGGCTTTTTTATATACTTGAAAGTTATATGCAATGTTTTTGAAGCAACTGATATTCACTTGGCATCTTTAGGCATCTTGCACACTAATCAGCTGTTAAACGATTTTTTTTTTCAATTACTATTTTCCTCGGTGGTGATTTAAAAAAACTAATGATTTTCAAAATCTGACTACTGATTCTTCAGCTTTATTTTTATAACAATATTTTTATATATTGGATTAATATTTAATAATAAACTACAGAAGTTATTACTTAAAAAGTAATTTCAGTCAATTATCAATTATAAATACCATTGTCTTACCTTATTTGTCAGTCGTTCTCCAAAAAAAGTAATAATGAACACCTGCGTCAAAATTGCAAAGAAGTAGGTCACCAATGCCATATACATCGCTTTGTTATCAGTCTATGAAGTATCATTAGTTACAAATAAATGGAAGCTGATGTGATGCTGATGTGATACGTACGGTAACAATTGTAAACAATACAAAAATCATGTAGGCAAAAATAAAATTAAGTTCTATGATAAGAAGTGGAGATATAAATTCATAAAACTCATCCCTGTAAGCTAACAAACGCTGGTGATGAGCGATGCAAACGTGTAAATTTTCCAGGACACCGCTTTTAAACTCAGTATCATTACTTATTTCGTCCACCATTTGGATCAATTTTGAACTTAATTAAAAAATAATTAATGGTTCCGATCAATCACTAGCATAAAGTTAAGAAAAATTCTTACTCGTTGGGATTTTCCATGTATTCTTCTACTTCCGTCCTCGACATTCCGCAATTGTGAAGAACATTTGGAATCATAAATTTAAAGTCATTTCCTAAAATAAATAAACAATATTTTTGCATATTTATGTCTCATATTATTTCTATGAATAGGCAAAAATTGACAAGTATACAATTAATCTTTTACATGCACACGATAACTAGATATTTACCACACCTAGAAAAAGTTGAAAAAAAAACATAGTATTAGCATAAAATAATTTGACAATTGTTTCTGTTCTGGTTTCAGTACAGTACTGGTACTAGTGCATTTACCTACGAGATATGACGTATATGTCGTATATGTCTCGTATATGTCACTATTCACGTATTACACTGTTCCGACGGCTTTTTAGCCAAACTTCAACCATTTTTATTTAACTCTACTGACTCTCGATTTCAAAAGTAACTATTAAAGAAAAAAAATTAAATAAAATGTTATGGTAAAGAGACAAGCAATAAGAGATGTAAACCCTTATGAACATAAGTCATTTAATTTACCTAAATGCAATATTACTTACCAAGTAATTCAAATTGATGTTGCATAAGAATATGAAAACAAATGTTAAACATTTCAATGTTGGCGAAGCAGCAAACCATGAATACTTGCGCAAAAGTTTGTAGCAGTAACGTAATATAAAAGTTAGCTTCAGTAGTCCAATCATAAAATAACCACATTGGCAAAGGTAATTCTCTGTATAATAAAAAGAGAAATAAAGCATTATTGACTTTTTGCAACTTGTTAGGCATTACTTACACTACAACACGAGCCCACAAGTATTGAATTTAACAGAAATTTTGATTGCAAAGTAGGTACATACACATGAATATAAGTTATAAATAAATTTTCATATAATGATTCTTATAAGATTTCATTACAACGTACTCGTAATGTGCGACTCTTTTGTTGTCGTGTATAACACTATAACGCTTTTCAACAAATCAAATAACGAAAACAGACGGCAGTGAGGGTTAATCTTAGACTCCAATACTGGAAATTTTCGAATACTTTTGAGACGCTAGAACATATCGCCATAACTCCTCTCTGATTCGATGATAATTTCTAATTACTACGCGGCACAAGCTTCTTTGTGTTATGTGTCATAAGCATGTGTCATAATCGGACAATTAGATGGAGTGTGCCGAAATCTTAGGCAATAATATTTTTACTTGCGACCACAAGAAACTTGCAGAAATCAAAAATTTTTAGTACCAAGCCTAACAATTAGCCAATGTGTGTATGATAAAAAACGGATTTTTATTGGTTGGACACAATTCAATTGAATCAGAGGAATATTTGAAAGTATTAACAAATACTGGGCAGAAATTTCATGAAAACAAATTATCCCATTATCAACTACAAATAAATTCATAATCTATGAAAAACTAATAGCAGTCAAAACAATAACAAGTAGAAAGCAAGTTGTATTAATTCTTGCAATATTAATTAAATTATTAATGGAAAAAGTTATCATGTTATTGTACCTGAGCCAAAATTCCTTTTATAGATTAAGCACAATTCAAATCTTAGAGGCAAAGAGATTGCTGTCAATTATTACCTACGCGGGTTCACATAACACATTTTATAAATGATAGGCAAGAGTTTAAGAATGTTACTACTTTACTTTACTTAGAATACTATTAATCATTAGTGGCATTAATGGAAAGAAATCCAACATCCATAACATCAAAACCTGTAATTGTTTAAATCACGCAAACATAAATGATATAGGTTGAAGTATTAGAATCAGTAATAATATTAAATAAATAAAATAAATGGTAATTCCAGACTTGCAACGTCAACTTTTCTTATATGCATCGAAAATCTACCCGTAATTTTTAAAAATTATTTGCTTTAATAATCAAAGAAATATACATACTTATTTGATTTGAAGAGAGGCGAAAACGAGAACAATAGTCCACATCCCCAAACAAAGCCCTGCCATACCAAGAGCGCCATATCAGCTAAGCGACGTCCCCTTTTCATGGTATACTTATCAAATGCAAAACTTCCGCTCTCTTTCATCACCATATTCATGCGAGCCATTAAATACTCAACCGAATCGTAGTTATACATGAAGTAAAAAGATCGGATGACAATGCTGCTGTACATAGCTGAAGGTACGAGTATACTCGTAGGAAAGAAGTATATATTTTTAGGTGCTTATTAAAACTGACTTACCAATATTGATAATATGCATAGCAACGTCCGAAATCTGCACAAACCCATTAATGTAAACATCAATGAAGGTAAAAACCAGTGTACCAGTTAAACAGGCAAAAACAAAAACACGCCAGAGATAATAGAAAGCTTTGATAACCAAAGGCCATTCTGGTTCTGGGCGGTATTGAGAAACCAAATGCATAATAATAACATTTTTGGCGTAGTATGGCTCCACGACCTCCATGGTAAACCAAATTTAAGACACCAAGTCAAATTTAGAGGATGATTTCATTTATATATCAAGCATTTAGAAGCGAAATAATAGGGTCAAATATATAATTCAATCAAGGAGTAGTAATTAAGACAAAAAATGTTAAATTAAACTCGCATTATAAATTCTCTTTACAAAACCAAATATGATGCTGTTTGAATAACCAATGCAATGGCTATATAATAAAATAATTGTTTATTCATCAATGTTTCTCCTTTGTCTGGTCGTCGTACGTTTAAAGAAGAGCCGTGGTTTATACAAATCATCACTAGAATACCGTTTTGAAGCAGTCACAACCCTCCGCTTAGGTTCCGCGATTGGAAGCTCATCTGTCTTCTTATCGATCGACTTGTCGCTATCACTCTCTGCCGGACTTAGAGGTAAATGAAAAGATAAGTTTGGGGAATCGTTAGAAATTAATAGTGCAGGGTTGCCTCCAGCGTTATTCATCGTCATTTGTTTCATGGGCAATTCATTCATGTTAATACCATTGTAACGACGTTTCTTCTGCCTGCTGATACAGTTCTCAACGTTTTGAATCTGTTTCTCGAGCTTCGCTAAGCATTTAGTCGCTTTTTTCAGATCGCACTCATCAGTTTCAATCGATGATTGGCTAAAATATTTTAAACTCACTTCAGCCGCGCAACCTGTAACATCTTCAGACACAATTTCATCTGTAACACCATTATTTCGCTTGTTGTCAGTTGTTGTTGTTTTCTTATCTGAATCATGCGACCAAATCCCTATGTTATTTAATTCAGTCTCTAAAGGGTAGTAAGTATCATAGTTGATGTTGGAATTAAGTTGCGTTTCAACTGCATCCCAGGTCGCGGCGCTGACCGATTTGGTTGGTGGAAGAGAGGAATTCATAACGATGCATTCGGTTTCCTTGTGATTTTTCATTGATTTTTGTTGATTATCCTTGTAGGACCTGTTTTTAGTTTCACGTTTATCAGAGTTCCCTTCCCCTTGGTTGGAATCATTCGAGTTCGTTGATTCTTTTTGAGAGTGCTGTGACGAACTGTTAGACTCACAATATGAACTTGAGGAACTTTTTAAGCCAGAACCGTCGTTGGAATCGCGGTCAGTTGAACGTCGCTCACCTCTATGCTTCGAACCGTAATGATCGTCTTTTCGGTCAACTTTTCGCTCTTTATCCTTATTTTTTTCGCTGCGAGATGAGGATGACTTTCTTTCCCTTGAGGAAGTATTGTGTTTTGAACGGACTTTATCATCTTTACTCTTTGAATCTGACCTTTTATATGAACTAGAAGAATCCCTTTCGCGTTTGTTACTTGAAGTAGAACAATATTTGTCTTTGTCGCGATGCTCATCCTTGTGCCTATCGGTCTTATGCAAATCTTTATTCTTATTTTTTTCATTTTTATCTGAATCTTTATAATCGCGATCTTTACTCCGATATTTATCTTTCACTTTAGATCTGTCATGTTTTCTATAATTCTTCTCACCTCTGTCCTCACTCCTATATTTAGATTTACTCTCTGATTTACTGTTTTCATCACTTTTTTGTTCATCCTTTTTAAGATCTGATTTGCTACTATTCAAATTACTATCACCTTCACCAATCCTATGTGTATCTTGATTTTGTTGGTCTTCATCTAACTGAAAAGTAGCACTTTCAACACAACTAGGTTCAGATATATGAGTATCATCTTTCTGAAGTGACTTAAGACTTGAATTGGAATTATGGCTTTGTAAGCCTGAGATACCAGACATATGAGAATCAATTGAATTGTCCTCATCCAATGGCTCAAATGGAGGTGATTCATCCTCATCTACTTTCATACTCTCTAGACTTAAGTTTGATTCTTCATTTTTCCCATCACGTCGCGATTCGGGTGAAACAGCTTCTAACTCTTCAGACAGCAAATCATCAGTTCTAGATTTCAATTCATCATCTGTAACTTTCTCTGATTTCATTTCAGGTTTTGCAAGACCAAGATATTGACAAAACACATCAGTAACTTTTGGAAGAAATACAGTGTTCATTTTGGGGTTCACAACTTGATCGACTATTCGTTCTACACCTGTCTCCAGATACCCAGACCTAAAAATGTAAATGTTGTTATAATAGTCAACATTACCACTGTATTATATAGCAATTAATCTATACAGCATCCCTGAAGGATATCATACTCGTAAATATTCTTCCGCAATTGCTCCCGCAGCTGATTCTTGTTGATGTCGGGACTCCATGTTTGTTTTCTGAGGAACGAAGATACGCTGCCCTCGACGCGCTGCCGGAGGTTCTGGTAAGCCGGCTTGGTGTCGACATCCGCAATACATTCTTTGCGAAATGTGTCGAATATACCACGTGATTTCAGCTCCCAAACGATATTTTCGATCTGCATCGAATCGCCCGGAATATAACTCACTGGCATAGCGTCCATGCGATCAGTTGATCTAAAGCGACTAGAACTGCCCAGGTTATCCATTCTTTAGATCGGCAACTCCCGATACAGTGATTGGTGCAAACTTGCTTGCCAGAGGGCGCTAACTACAATAAATTTACGCGAGATATATTTAAATTCTCCTTTTTCTAATAGACATATTTGAGTAAACTAGTATTAAAAAGTACCCTTACTACTTTAGATCGCTTTAGTGCTCAGTCACGGCCTTGGTCATCAATATTTAAAATAAATGAGGTATGTTGGACTTTATTGTCTTTTATAGCATAAGAGCCAAAACAAATTGTTATCTGCTAATGAGGTTTAACCGAGTACAACTGTAATTCAAATCACGTACAAATTCAATGAAGAACATATAAAGGTATCTAATTCTAATTCATTTTAAACACGTGAACTTTATGTTCGCTTAACACGAACAAAACAGTATTGCTGGCTTTTACGCCCCAAATGTTGTCATCTGCTTCCAACTCTATCACTTGTTGAAGAGCGAGCTGCTTTACATGCCTGCCAGATCGACGATGTCGCAATTCTCCACTTGTAACATCAACATTTTGTCTATATACAAATATGTGTCTTCCGCCCTCAGCGATAATGGAATAACTGAGATCCGGTGCACATGTTGTAAACTTTCTTCGCAACTTTGACGCTCTAACATAACCCAAAGCAAACAGCGTACCGGTGTGTTCAAGATTCCATTCAGAATTGGAGCAAGGTTGATAGATGCAAATGTCATCATTTTGATGAACTGCAAATTGTTGTAACGCGCTATCAACAAAAACTATTTCTTGTGTATGAAGAACGCGATGTGAAACTATTTTCTCAGGCGTTATACGTTCGATAAGTGACCATTTGGACGTAGCAAAATCACAATCTTCTATTTGATCAGTCAATGTGGACTGTTTAGTTGCAAACGTTTCTCTTGGTTCCAAAAATCCCACAAACTGTTTCAGAATATTTTTAGCAGTTTTGGGATCATGCTGATATTCTCCAAGTGAAGGTTTAGATTGAATTAACTCAGGCCACATAGCTGCAGTTTCCTTATACAACATGATTTCCATTATTCCCCCATCATTTATAATCACATTTTGAGAAGAATCTATTTTATCATACAATATTTCATCCAAGACAATTTCTTCTTTATTTTTAATTGTGATCTGTTGATCAACAATATGTGCAATGGTTGCTAACATGTAGATAGTTACACTTTCATCTGTTTGTGACCATGTAAAGAATGTGTTTTTCAATCCATCATTATCTTCATTCACAAAACCACCATCTGAACTTACAATATATAAGTTTGTGTCAGTTGAAAGAAAAGCATAATGCAATTCACTCCTAGATTGCATTTCTTCAATACTCTTCCTACTCCAAATACCATTACAACATTCATATTGCACCCAGTATATAACAGATTTGTGTTCAGACCTTTTTTCACTTGTTTCTTCATTATCTGCCACAATAGCAAACAATATAAGATGCAAAACATTTTGAAATATTTTAGAATCCAAGATGACACAGCTGAAATCATTTGTTTCATTATAAATGCATCTCCATTCATCCTTTCTGTCTAAAATATAAATATTTCTTGATCCATTTGACACAACAGCGAAATTTTTGTCTGGAAAAACCATAGTGCAATTATAATTGGAGTCTAAGAAGGGTACTTCCCAATTCATGCACTTTTCCTCCAGTCCAAGGATATCTGATTCAATTTTATATATTAAGCGATCATCACCAATGTAATAAATTGCTTCAGTACCCTCTAATTCATCCACTTCAGATGCCAATATATGATTGTGCAGTGAGAAAAGTTTGGCATGTTTGAAAGTGTACTGTTCATTATTTGGTTCAACAATGTTCACTTTTGATGACAAGTTAATGGTTAATTTTGGAATGTCTTGCAGAGAGAGTTTGTAGCCAGGAAAATCAGTTTGCAGTAAAGTCCTATTTTGTTTCAGTTCCACTAGTTGAGTCATGTTTGAAAAATGTGTAGACTTTGAATTAAGGTTTATTTAAAACAAACTTGTGGACATATTTTATCTTAGTGGTGAACAAGTCGTAAGCAATATCGTAGGCACTTGTAGGGGTTATGTCTATCATTTGAACTAAATCAACGCTCGCCAACACCGCGACCGACAAAACGAACACATCATCCACTGTGAGTGGCAGCATCCACGCGCGAAATAATTAAACTTAGATATTTCTTTTTGCCTTATTATTAACTATAAACCATACTAATAATCCAGACCAGATTGTTCGTGATAAAGGGATAAAGTTAATGTTTATTTTGAACCCAAATTCAAACTTGTCGTTCGAAATGTTTTCCGAAACTAGAGAAAATTGTTCTTTAAATTAAAATAATAAGAAATGGGCTAGGTAAATGGCGTGCGAGGTATTTAACTAAAACTAAATTTGCAGTATCAATGTAACATATCGTTTGAATTTGGTATGCTTTATTTATAAGAATTGGTGATAAAGATTTTGGATGAAATTTATAAGTTCGTTTTGAAAAAATCTGGTATTTATGAAAATATTAGGTTGTTTTCTTTTCATAAGAGTTGGCTAAGACGAAATGAAGTACGTACATGTAAATATGAGTTTGACATCACTAATTCAGCCTAACTTATTATTATGGCACTTTATTTTTTGGTAATTTGATTTCCTTTACTCAATTATGTATTTAATTGCAAATTTATTTAGTTTTGGTTTTTAATTTATTCACAATGGACCAAGAATTTAGGAGAAAGTGTAAGTGACATGAACATGGCTCACTTTCAATATATTTCCAATAATCTTGGACCTGCTGAATGCAGGAAACTGGTAGCCTCTTTACACTTTAGCAACAGCGACTTACCCAATGCTCTTCAGCCAGCAGGTTAGTTAGATAATTATTAAAGTAAATTTTGTTTTATTTTCGTCGGAAACTATCAAGAACGAAAAGTACTCAAAGATGATTCTTGCTTGAAACAATTAATGCAATGGAATATGGATATAAGTGGCAGACAAGGAGCTACGCATGAAATCCTCGTTAGGCGATTGAAGCAGATAAATAGAGAAGACCTAGCACTATGGCTGACAAATGCAGCTTTTAATGCAATGAATAAGTCACTACAAGCAATATCGTCTGATAAATCCATGCGCATGTACGAACCCGTAATTTTACCTTACGTGAATTATTCGACAAGTGCCGCCGAAATCACACAACCTGGATTAAAGGTCACAACGCCGGAGTCATTAATACGAATTGTTAAGTATGATAATCAGTCAAAAATAGTTGGTAGTGTAATAACAAATACGCGTTATAGACAAAATGTACCCGACCCAGTTGAAGATGTTGTCATTGATCCCACTGAATGGACTATTTTCGATACAATTAGTTGGTCTATTGTTTTGATTCTATTTCTATTGATCATCGTACTGTTAATATATTTAACGTTGGCGTCTCCATGTAATCGCAAAAAAAGGTACAAAGGTCTCCCCCAAGATACAGCCTAATCTGATTTAATGTTAATTGGTTACTTGTTATTTGCTGGTTTCATGAATAGATTTTTATTTAGTCTTACCTGTGCCTAATTTAAGATGCCAATGTAGTGTACCATCATCGCCGCGCGAATACAATTTGTCAAATCGCTCCAGTCCAGTTTCATGTGTGCGTGCCCCAATCCTCCACCAACAGGAGAATAAACCCCATCCACAACGACACTTTGAAAGCCCGATAAAACAAACCACTTACATAGATGGAAAAAATATGCATTCATTTAAGAAGCATCCGAATGAGTACTCCATATGCGGAAGCAGTGAATGTCCGGCATTAACTACGTGCCATTGTGACTGCAGCAATCCTAGATGTAAGCGTGAATTTCAGAATGATTTCAAAAGACAAGCACAGTTCTCGGAATCACCTTCTTATAATGATATAACGGCATACAATCCATACGAAGGGAACTGCTCACAGTGCAAAGTACCACCGGCACCACGTCCGATTTGCCATGGGGGAAGCACATGTTTAGGCAATGAGTACACTGAAGGTCACATTCATCATAATGGCGCACGGACTATTGATATTCATCAAAAGATTGCCATTCCAATGAATAATATGGACAACAGCAATTAGTGTGTAATATGAATAACTGTATTATACGACCAAGAACTGGAACACATATCTAATATTGCTTATTTTACAATAAATATATATATTGAGTGTAAAGTCTATACAACTCAGCTCAGGGGATCTAGCATATTTCGACAGCTTTCCGAAATTCAAAAGATACTGTTACATCTACATCTATCAAATTTGGGACTTTCGTTCCTACTTCAACAGTTATTTCTGTCTTTTTTGCATTTAGCATCCCACAAAACGATTTTCCCCTGTCCCTGCAGTCAGCAAGGAAAGAAGATATGAATTAAACATGTAACATACGAATGGATGACAAACACATATTTTTAAATTACAAACATTTACTCTAGTCACCAAATGCTTTGAATGTTTTATTATTAAAAGGTTCTTTAATTAGTTAATTGAATTGATCCAATTATATTCCAATCCAATTCCAATCGTCTCCTAATCATAATGCAATACTTTATCTCTGTTAAGTCTATAGAAATACTTTACAAAGTGCAGTAGCATACATATCGTTTGTACACTCCATGCTCGACCCACAAGCGTCAATCGTGCAGATTTAGATAGAGTATCAAATTGTGTGTAATCTTGAGGCAAGCCGAAGATTTTCTCAATTTCTTTGATTGTTAACGGTGCCAATTCCATGTTTTCATCATATACTGCATGCTGTTTTATACTCCCTACAATTATTTTTGAATTTCATTTGATATTTCAAAAATCATATAGCGAATACCTTGTAACAACGAATTGGAGTTAGTAGTGATCGTGCGAATATGATCGACTGCCGCAGTGCGTCCTGGATCTAGATAGTCCTGAAGCACATGTTTCCCATCATAGGAGAAGTCAACATGAAGCGAGGGACAGTTGCCCCAAAAATATCGCTTTCGATCCTGAGGCGACACGCAAGGATACGCATTTATCTGTGATGGTTGACATTCCAAAATTCTATGTATAAGAGATGATTTTAAAAGAATTAATTTTTGGTTTTATGGGCCTGTTGTGTTGTTAGTTTATGATAATCCGCGCGTACCTAGATATAATGCTTTTCACTTCTTCTGGCATTGAAGCGACGTTTTCAAAGAGCCAAAAAAATGCTTGATTGCCAATTTGTTTCAGTGTCGTTATTATGCGAGAAAACTCGTAGAATAATACTCCGGTGCCATCTGGATCTAGAAAATAAAAAAGACAAATTTTTGAAAATTTGAAATGCGGATCTCCAGATTTTGATGTTGCCTAAATGACCCAGTCAATATACATAATTACCAAAAAGTCCTTTGCGATCAGGATTGGCCCTACTAAGATCATTGCAGGGTGAACCACCAAGTACAAGATGAATGGGTAGAATGTCTGCAAGTACGCGAGCGTTTATTTTGCGCACATCCCCATTGCCCAAATATTGAATCTTTTCATCATGGTGCTTCAAAGCAATCATCTTTGCATTGTAGTCCAGCTCGGCGGCAAAATACGATTCCACATTCACATCTAATTGGTTAAGGGCTAGTAAACCTGTGAAATCAGATAACTTCAGCACCGGTAATTCATACTGACGACTATAAGATGTACTCGTATGCCAATGCAAATGTAATTACCAGTCGCAATTCCATCAAAGAGCGAAAGCACGCGGAGACGTTCTTTCTTAAGCAGGATTCGCGGTATCGGGAATCCTTTGTGAGTATTGAAGAGCGCATGCAGCTTGAAACATAAAAATCCCAAATATTATATATAATCAATTAAGATATGTTGCGCAGAGTGAATTTTAATAAGAATAGAGAGTTTATTATTTAACGCCAATAATAATCCAGTGTTGCTTGATATACATAGAACAGAACTACCCTTGACAAAGTTCAACTAACTGTCAACTAAAGCACATGGTGGCTGGAAAGCCACTCAGCCACTTGAGAAAGAGCGCAAAACTCCACAAGATAATTAAGGAATAAACTCACACAAAGCAGCAACGTGACATGAAAATTTAATGCCCGATCTGTACTAACACGATGGGAGACTTAACCACAAGATCTATGACTCAAGCAAGGTCAATTGGGCCAGAGCCAGTTGCCATTTTTGGTCAACATTTTATGGTAACATCAACGATTAAATTTCAATTTTTGTGCAAAATCCTGCACGACAAGCATCTATCTTTAGGCTTCAATTCAAGATATGACTCCTGCTTTTCTATCACACATCATCTCATATCCGGTAGGTAAAGAGATCAGTGATAAATGTAAATCATTCACTTACGTGATTTCTCCAATCAGCCCGGCATTGGATATAGCGACCGCTTCTTGAGTGTCCGGTGCTGTTACACACAAAGCATATCCACACCGCCATATTTGCTATGTAAGGACGTAACCCCGTGGATCCCAAGTTGTCGAGACACTCGTAACAATATGATCTAAAGTATAGCAAACCCACAACTTCAATTCCTTATGAATTTAAGTGTAATACATTTACATTTACACCAAACATCATAGAGTACAAATGCACTTCGAAACAACTAATAACATGTATTGTTTGCGGGCTTAAAGTACAGGAGATAATTTATAGAAATAATTCTCAAATGATAAAGAATTAATCTCTCATGATATTCATATACTACGCTAAAGAGAAACTAATTCTCCACCTTATACGCATAAAGCAGTATAGACCTGGGTTAGTCCATGATTACAAAACCAGAAACGTTAATAAGAATACGGGATATTAAAAATAACAGCATTTTTGAGCGGCACTAGTGTCGCATCAAAGCGCAGGCCCGTTACAATGAAAATATCAAACATAAAACATAAAATAGGTACAAATTATTATCGTAGCGTAGCGATGCATTCGCTGGTACTACTTATATGAATCTACATACTTACAACCCGCACTTCAACATGCTGCATACGACCAGCTTGCCGAAACCGCCACAAATTGCGCAGCAATACTGAAAAAACGAAAGTATTGAATCATTGCAGGTTTGTATTTTTATATGTATCTATAATGCAACAATTTTTCAGCGTTAATATCCTGCTTACTCACGTGAATATTGTCCGCACCAATCATGAAAAATCTTCCTGTGTAACGCTCCTATAACAAAACTACTAATATCTTTTCGAACATGACCGGCGTGCATGAGAAACAACAACACTGTTTTCTATTTCTTCACCAGCCTATTTAACTAGCTTAATGCATTTTTACTTACCATACAAACGAAGCACATCCCACCTTGGAAGAGCGGGTGAGGTGTGTACACCTCGTCGTGGTAGCAACTAATACATAAGTTTTCCAAATCCTCCGTAGCGAATTTTTCAGTAAATCTGAAACAGTTTTCATAAGTGAAATGTTTATTCCTAGTTATATCTCAAGCGCAAATAATAACTTTATATAAATTTATATACAATACTTTATAATTACCGTAGTTTTTAGACGATTTGTTGAAATCCGTATTGTTTGCATCCTTTTTTAGCTGAATGTTGTACAAAATCTCATTTGGAATTTCTGTAAAATATGAAGGCAATATATGAAGGGTATTTGTATTGTTTTTGTATTCCTTAATTTTATATTTTAAGTACACATTGTACTTCGTTCAGTTACGTATTGCTGAGGGCTCGCCAATGTGTACATTTTTTGAGAGCTCCGCTGATCTACAATTTTACGTCCTACGCGCACCTGCAAATTAGAAGATAAGTGTCGAGTATCTTGCAATATTCGAATGAAATTTTATATAGTCTTAGTTAAACATTCAAAATCGTGATGTGCAGTTCAGATTTCATTAATGTTTTGAAGAAATATTTTTGTTTTCACAATAGTGCAATTGTGTGGACGTGGGGTCATGCGACTCCCCAGTAGTTTTTATCACTTTTAGTCGCTCTAAATGGCCTATAAAAGCAATGTGACTTATTTTTCAATAACCTTCATGCAGAAGTGATACTGCAGGAAAGTAGCAACTTATGATTCCTATATTGGCGCTCATGACTTATGCCGGGGGCGATGGATGAAGATTTGGAGAAACTGATGTCTAATGTGCAGCGATTAACAATTAGAATTTGGTTTTCAGATTACTTCATTTGGGCTATGGAGAACCATGTGAAGTACACTGGGTGGGACTTTTGGAACTTCATATTATGTATGCGATATCTGCTAAATTTCGTTTGATTTACGATTGTCCCCAGGGTGACCACACCGTACACATGTCGGTGTAATGGGAGTCAAATCTGTTTTTTAAACTTTTAATAATATCCAAAATTGATTTTGTCAAAGTGACTGAAAGTATTTCAAATATAGGTATTTAAGTAAGCAATGTATAGTGCAATAAAGTATTTTGTTTATCATTTAAATTATATATTTGAGTTCTCCCCTTAAGTGACCCCCATTACCACTCTTTTACCCACTACATCTTTGTTAGCTGTTAACTACTTAAGGAACCACGATCAGGTTTCATAATTGGGGAATCGTTTGCCTCACCTGTGTTGAGGAGAAACACATGGACAAAATTTCATCTTTCCTAAAATGACGAGAATTTGTAGATGCGGGCTCTTTAGTCTATTACGGAATATTTGGAAAATTATTTTTGTTCCTAAATATTTCCTAATTATTATTCATTTAATTATTTAAGAAGTCGTTATTAAACGAATATGTTGTTCCACCATGTGTATGTGAAATCACAGTGGATTTTATATTTGAAACTTCCACTAATACTTCCACCTATAAAGCGCTAGTTTTTTCACGCAAAATTTTTTAGATGCAAAAAGTAGGATACGGACGGTTAAAGCCGTGAGTAAAGTATGTTACTCACGAGCATTATGTAGGTTCCGATATAACAGATTTAAGGCTTTGTCAATTTAATTGAATAGCCATGGCTCTCCCAAAATTCAAGGGAACTATGAGAGACGCATGCAATAAATCGAATAAAGCAAAAAACCGAGAGGAAAAGCAGAAACGTGTATGTCAGCCCAAGAAAACAACTCATCCACGGTAAGATGTTTAAAGAAATTTGTAAAAAAAAAAAGTAAAAGGTGGAAGGTGGAAGTTTCTGTTCGAGTACGTAAAATATGCAGAGTTAGTGCATTCTAAACGTAAATTTAGAATAAATGTATTTCATGATAGAACCATTTTTGATGTCGTGAACCCTTCCCGGAAATCCATTAAAAGCCCATGCAAAAAGTGCTTGTTCAGTGGTTTCCTCTTCTACAGTTTTACTGCTATCGCCTACAAGTCCACGCCTATAGAACTAAGAATAAACACATTCAAAAATTGATGGGTTGAGGTGTTGGTATACAGTTGTTAGTATATTTTCGAGTGAATATATACCTTAAGTGCTTGTACCATTCCAGCAAACTGTCTTTTGCCCAAAGTAGAGAAGAAGTTCCAATCTTTGGCGTACTTTTCGAAATATAGGTGAAACTTTATCATCGATGTTTTTTTCACTTCTGAAATGCGTCCATCTCCGAACCAATACACCCATTCCGAATGATGCTTCCACGGTTTCTCAATTTGAGTCGCAGATAAAACAATACCTAAAAATGATGAAAAGGCAAATAGACTTATGGCGTGTAAAACTTAGCAAAATCGATATGTTAATTGACCTAGTAACATTTATCAGATCCTACCTCAAGTGCGATAACAAAGTCTCAGAAACTGTGAGCAATAAAAACTACCAAAAATAGGAATAATGTTCAAATCGTAGTTTTCTTTAGCCGCGTTGAACAATTAGGGAAAAATCGTCTCAGCATGCTCATACCTGGAGAATTCGCAGCGGTCGTGTGCCGTGCGCGTCAAACGTTTTTGTGATGGGTGAAATGTCGTGTCTGTTTATAGCAGTAGGTATATAAGTGAAATTGAATGGATTTGGTGAAAAGATCAATGTGTATACACTGCGCATTGTTGAAATAGTGTTTTTGTTTGATTCTTATTTGGTAGGCAAACAGGCAAACGCATATGATATGTACAAAAAAGTCCCGAAAAATTGACAGATTAGGTGCTGATCAGGCAATTTGGTGTAATATCGTACCATATATTGAAAAACAATAGTTTTATGCGAGTACTAATTAAAAGCAAATTAATCATTTACAAAGCAAATCGTGTAATCTTGAATAATAAGAATTGAGCGGTGCAAAGTAAGAGCACGGTCCAAACACACGCATGGTGGAGTTATCAACAATGGAGCGAGCGCCCGACGCGACAACAGTGTAATAATCGCAAAGCATACTGTATATTTGAGTAAAAAAAAAAAGAGTTTGAAAATGCTAATCCGGCGAAACAGTTGCTTATTGTTTTTGCACATAAGAGACATGTCTAGCAAACGTCGTGCGAAGTTGAGACGGGTCGCTTGGCGGATGATATAACTCACATAATAATAAAAATGCCCTATAATAATAGCCAACCAACTTTGTTCATGAATCTCTCCAGATTATACATAAAATTACTCATTACACTCATCATTTTAGTAACATTTTGATATTGCCATTTTAAGTTATAAAAAATACTCTGGTTTAATTTACATATTAAATTAATTTTTCTCCCGGGAATGCGAACGGGGGTATAATCCCTTGCTATCTCAACCCGTAGATGATATAATTATTGTAGCCACTCCTCAAAGTGAAGAATGTAGGTGGGAATGAAAGCAAGACAATTACTCCTATTGTTCATAATTAGCTGGGTACAGTTGATTGCACTTTTAAAACTACACCGATATATTGAATCGTATCGGAAGCATTGTTTAGTGTGCATGCAAAAATTTGCTGTTGAGGCACTCAATCGACCGTTGTATGTATGCAGGCTATTATGCTGTTGATACGTTGGCGCTGACAAATCACAGGTTTTCGAAAAAAGTACTGCAAGTGCGTATTGAATTCAGAATTTAGACGCTTCCACAGTGTATAATTTTATATTTATTTTATGACGATAATCGACTCGATGAAATGCTGTGTAAGACATTTTGTCTCAAACTTTAGAACGCGAATTTCCGTAGATTTCAAGTTGTCATTTTTGTTTTGGACGCATTACCATTTCATTAAGTTTCAAATCAGACAAAAGAATCACTTTAACACCAATAGATACAATAGAACTATTTCAACACCATATGGTATGATATTACACTCATATACACATACCCATATAACCATTATTATGTATGTTAATGAAAATGTATCTGGACAGTTTTCACGTGTATTTGCTATCCTATTGGTACAAATTAAGTTGAATGCACTTGCAGCTACCAATTCGGCCAATATTTTGACCTTGTTCTCGACCATATGTAATCTCCACTCTGATAATTAATCATTGTCACTACAATTTCACTTGATTTCGATCAATGACTGACTCCGCGAGCACGTACGCTAATGTAACGTGACTAACGTGTCGTTTCGCACTGGCTCCAATTAAATATGAGAAAAGAAACAGTTCAAGATTTAAGGCGGGATCAAAGGATGGAACTACTTAATCTGTTTGCATGCGTGTGGAACTTATTCGTCCATGAAGTTACGCATCATCATTTCCAATGTTGTAAAGGGAAGCTACACTGTTACTAAAATATGTGGAGAAAGGGTTGCGCGGTTATGCTAAAAACCACGCTAAGTAAATAAAAACAATAGGAGCGCATCGCTCCAAGAACCTAAAGGAGTCTCGTCAGATTATCTTCGCTCTCTACTATAAGTCCTGCATCGTACTCTACCACTCATTCTGTCTTCAATTTGTAGGGATTTTAATGCTGTTATAATTTCATCAATGACCAAGTTGAACAATGTCGGACTTAAGATGTCTTCTTGTATTCTTTCGGACACCGGTATTGTCTTAAACCCATTTTGCTGACCTAAGGTGGTAATATTTGTGTTTATATCACTAATTAACTCCATGATTCTAGCCTGTACTCTTCGTTTTTGTAGGACTTCCAGAATATATTTTGTTTGGATTCTTTCGAATGCCGAATATGTAAAGCGGCTTGTTGAATTCGTAGGCCCTTTTCGTAGAGCTGTCTTAGGGGCTGTCCATTAATCACGTGATCTTTTTTTTTTCATTTTTGGATCCTCCCCTTTGCGATAGTCGTGAGGGTTAAGATTACCCCACCCCCCACCCCCTGGCCTACCACGTATTTTAATCCCAACAAAAGAATAATAAAATTGCTTACATAATTATTATAAGATAATATTATTATCTTCTTAAATACAGATAAAACTATCATTTATTTAATTCATAACAAATTACCCTATATTTAATATTTACTTGCCCTCACCAGCAAACCCACCAGCAAGAAATGGAAAAATAAATAGATGTAAACTAATAGCAAGCTGCATAATAAAAAAGTAATATATTAAGCACTTGGGCCATGGCATGCAAATGCAGATGTTGAAGAATTTAGAAGGCACAGATGGTGAGAAAGTAGTTGCACTACGGGACAAAAAAATTAAAGTAAATGCTGAAAAGTAGTAGAATTTAGCAAAAGAGTACAAAAGTACCCTAAGTAAAGATGCGTTGGGAAATAACTGGCGGGCTACCATTGGCGACTGCAATTTATCGCCGGGTGGTCGGCGTGCGAGGTGCTCTCCGTTCCTGCCTGGCAACGGCGTTGTTAGCTTACTACACGCCGCTTTTCTCTTAGAAATCGTGCGTTTGACGAAAAAATAAATGTTAATGCGATATCTTACCCACCCTCCCCTGGTGATTTTTCGTGATTTTAACAAAACCCTCCCCTTCTCTTCATGCCCTCCTCACGCGATTAATGGACAATCCCTTACTGTAAAAATTTTATGGGCGTTATTTATACTTTGGCCGTTAACTTGTATTGCTGGTAATCGACTCCAGTAGTCTGGGTTGGTAAGGATTCTTTGTGTTGTCATTTGCGAGTGATTGGGTTTTGTATCTTGACGAATTTATCTGTGGGGACATGCAAAATTTCATGTTTAAATTTGGTGTAACGATGTATCAGATCGTGATCTAGTGCAGCATCTAGTTTTGGTGAGGTTTTAATCAATACTTCTTGAATAAAAAAAACAAGTCTGATTTTTATTAAACTGAAATATATAGGTACCTCCGGTTTGCCAGGGCCGAAACGATCGGGCCGAGGAATCCGGAGGAATAAACCAAAACAAACCAAAACTTTTAATCGGCGCGAAGGAATGCACTACGGTGCTAATACCTGCTGAGAAGCGGCATTCTGTTCATTTAGTTTATTACTTCTAATCGATTCTTTGCAAAGTATAAACATGTGTATTTCTGAGATAGATTCGTTAGTTTCAACGAAAAATCAACGAAAAATAATATGTATGAGAATACGTCAACGACATAATTCTGAAAGGTAAAATAATCTTTTGAGTAAATTATTATGTTAATAGAACTAAACATAAAAGCTAATACTTCTCATATTTATTCACTAGCGACCCGCCCCGGCTTCGCACGGTTGCAATACTGATACTAAATACACTACAGAAAAACTGTGATCGTGTGGTATAAAATATGGGCTATGTAATTAAAATCGATCCAGTAGTTTTGATTTATTCATTACTGCCCGTGGCCCGCACGCGTTAAATTTAAGAAAACAATCCCCCTTTCCCTATACCATGAAGATTCTGCTATCTTTGGAATATCTAAATTCATACACTACATTTTTACTTATTTACTTTTTACATTTTATAGTATAAAAGCTGCAGTAAAAATATCTAAATTTACCATTTAGAAACAAAAGATAATCAACAATCATAAAACAAAAGATACCTTATTCTATTCAGTTCTTTTTACTGAAATACCCTAATTTATATTCTCTTAAACCACTATCATATACAATTATTTATCGTAACTTACTTATAATTACTGATACGTTGTCGCGCTGAAAAGAACGTTTTTATTACCTGGTATTGCTATTTTCCCGCTGGAGAGCTCCGATATAATAAACGTGCCCGGATCGCTGCGAAATTCAAAGCGCTACAGAGAAAAACCGCGGCCGGCCGAAAATCGCTGAAAACGCTACGTCCGCAATTTTAAAAATCCGTTGCGTACTTCAAAGATTTAAGCATGTACAAAGGACAGAGACAGAGAAAGCGACTTTCCTTCTCCAAACAAAAACATCAACTTCAACCCACACGCACACGTCTGTAATCTTTATAATGAAGCATCGCGTAACAAAGAAAGTAGACGGCGATAATATCATATTAGAAACCTCAAAAATAACAGTACTTCTCCACTATTTAATGGATGTTATTATACATACAAACCTTCCTCTTGAATTACTCTATCTATTAAAAAAAACCGCATCAAAATCCGTTGCGTAGTTTCAAAGATTTAAGCTCACAAAGGGACCGGAAAAAAAAGCGACTTTACTTTATACTATGTAGTGAGTAGTGATGTATTCTAAAGAATTTCGGTTCGTGTCAAATCGTGTGCGGAAAAGAGTTTTCATTTTACTATTATGTTGTTTTTATCACGTATTGCAAAACCTGTTCAATTTTCTCTTAAATTAACGATTTCTCCTAGTTGTAAATGTTAGCTTTTTGTATTTGTTCCATAAATTAGATTATGGAGCATACACTGCTCTCTTCTGTCGAATAATATAAGCTAAACTTTGCGGACTTTGAGATGTTTCTCGGTAGAGTTTCGACGCGAGAATAATTCAAGTTTCTAAATTACATTGCTACGTAAAAAAACTAAATTTAAAAGAATAATAAACTGATTTATATAAATTCAATCTCGAATCTTTAGCGTACCCTAAATTTCTGAATGTAGTTTGAATAAATAATTGAATACGACGTTCTTACGTCTATTGCTATTGCCAACAGTTCATTAAAACTTTATTCACAAAGATATTGTAGGTTAAAGATTTTAGATTGAACTTAAATTAATCAATTCAATTTTATTCAACATATATTGAATCTTGAAATATTCTGGTTGGCGGAGAAAATACTCACGGCGAACTGTCATGTTCTCCTAACATACAAAACCGTCAGTTCGTGCCGTCAGCCCTGCGGTATAAGGTTGTGTAATCTGTGCACATAGGTTATAAACTACTGTCTGAGCACAACTAATATAAATGTTATAAATATATTTTAGTAGGTAAGTATTCCTATAACAGTAATTATAAGTGAAATAAAATGATTTAAGATTATGTTTCAGCGAGGACCGCGTTCAAAAGCTTATGTTGCAAAAGTACTGCTGGGCACAGCATTAGGGCTTCATTTTGGTATCTACTTTGTTAAGCCATTTCTTCTACCAAAGCCACCGCCTGCAGGACATAACGGGAATATATCCAATTCTCGCCAAAATTAACTAAGGTTTATTATGCATATTCGCAGACCCCGCGGCCTTACTGGAATCCAAATTGGTTTGGCAACTGTGCTAGGCATTGCAGGCGGTATCTACATTTGGCAGCCACTTTTTAAACAATTTACTGCTCCAGGTGACAACCAGTCAGTTAAGGGGACTACAGGTAGAATCTGACTGTCTTTGCTTACAATTTACAATATTCTATGATTTGGTTTTAGATAAGTAATTAAAATGTCTTACAAGAAATGGGTGGCTAGACAGAAAGGAAATCCACTCTTGCTTGGTGTTGCTGCACTTGGATTTATCACAGGCTCTCTACTTGTATACAGAGGTGTAATAAATCCATGGTTTAAGAAGAGAAGGCTGGAGGAAAATGAAAGATATGCACAAATTATTATTCAGAAGGATAAGGGCCGACAACAGCAAACTTAATGAATGTCCACTTCACCTTCTTTATAAATAGATTGCATTTATAGAAAAAATATTTGTTAGATTTTAATGTTTCATTGTTAAAATAAAATCAAACATGAAACACTGGATTGTTATCTAGATGTTTTTTTATTTAGCATTCTAATAAACATGGGTAATATGTAATCTATTCTAATTTATTACAGAAACACATATTTAATTACTTTTCTTCAACTTCTTTGGGGTATTTACCATTCCAGTAGGGCAGGTATTGCAGAACCGTTTTCCAGTCTGTTATGTAAATAACAAGGGTAGTTGCAGCAGTTCCATAACATGCAGCTGAACCAATACTGCAATACAGACATTTTTTTAAGTTATATTTTTGTTAACATAATCACTTATTTCATTCTTGTCATATCAGAGTGGTATTAACAACTTAGTTACTATGGGTGTCTCATGGACACAACATGTTTAAACTGAAAAGAAGTTTCAGGGGAGTTCAGTATTGATATAAGTGATTTTATGCAAGATATAATAATAAAGCCGAGATATTATATAATCAATAATTTCATGAGACAGAGCATACAAAATACATACAATTGGGAGAAGATTTCGACGTGCTTCTTCCCCAAAGACCGCAACAGACTCATAATGATGTTCTACAGATCGTCTTCGAAGATTATTAGAAGAAGTGATGTACCCCTACGTAGGTAGTTAAACGATACGCCGTCGTCGATGAGGTTATAAATTGGTGTCCTTGTCGCAACCCGTCGTTTCGCAGCAAATTGTTTCTCCGCGGCCTGATTGGCTGCGCGTCGATTCCACGCAATAAAATCAAATAAAAGGAGTTTCTAGCTACAATACCGCCACATAGAAATAAATAAATATGGGAAAATTTTACACTGATTTGAATACATTCAATCTTGAATCATTAGTATACAGTGTGAATTGGTCGCGTCATCCAGGGATTATAATCCGTACCGTAAAAAGAGCAGAATCAAAAGAAAACAAACCTTCTCAAATTGCGGTATCGATGTAGCAATATCTATTGTATTTAGTAAGCTTAATTGGTATAATTTAATGCGATAGTTTTTAAATACATTATTTAATAAATAAATTAATAATATTAATTTAAATTTTACGCGATAGAATTACAATTTTATTTAAGTTATACATGAAGTAAGGTAAGTTATACCAAATAAAATTAATTTAATTTGTTATAAATTAAAAATATATGGGGTAAAAGAAAAATTAATTCTTCATCCCATGGGTATAGTTACTTAAAATCACCAGTAGTTTAAGAAGAGCAGTCAAAATAAAAACTTTTGGCAGGGTTTCCCAAACTATGGGTCGCGGTCCACTGATGGATTGCGAGCGAATATTGAGTGGACTCTGCCTATAGAACAACACATTTATTCATATTGGTACCGGTTAAGTTTCTTAGAGGTGTGTCCCGAGTTTCTAAACTTGCATTAGATGAATCGTAGCACAATTTTGGGAACCACTGCTCTAGAGGATTCTTAAACCTAGGGAATTTTGTTAGGTTAAATTAGTGTTTACTTCAAAGTTATATTAGCGTTTTAGCTTCACCGGTCAACTCGAAGGGTCAACTGTTTTATATGTAGGGCATGTAGTGTATAATCTGGAATATACAAATCAGTGGTGAATACAGGCCCTAAGAGGTCTATGCTTTGGGTTTCATGTGACTGATATTTTCATTGTTTGTTATATACTGGGAAGAAGGAGGCCTTCATTCCAGAGCTCTAAAGGGCTTTGGGGCCCCACATTTTTACATAGTTCTTTTTGACAACAGGTAAATAATTTCTCAAATTGTATTTTTAAAAGTTGATATGCAAGTGTCAATAACAACAGAATTTATTTTAGAAACTTCAAAATGTGTACCTATGATCTCAAGTACAATGATTACTACACAAATGTCAGTGATGGTTTGCGATCAATGCTTGTAACTGCAGACATTGCTGATGTAACCCTGGCTGTTGAAGGAGAGCTTTTCAAGACACATCAAGTGGTTCTCTCTATATTCAGCCCATATTTTAGAGAACTATTTAGTTCAAATCCATGCAAACATCCAATTTTTTTTATGAAGGATGTGAAATGTCAAGTAATGAAAGACCTTCTAACTTTTATGTATGAAGGCAAAGTACAAATTGCTGAAGAAGAATTTTATGACTTTGTTGAAACTGCCAAGGCATTGAAAGTGAAGGGTTTGACTAACATGGCAGAACCCACCACTTTGTCAGAATTGGCAAGCAATTCTGCAAGTAAGTCATTGGGAAAACAATTAAATGAACACATTGGTAATAAGGAGCATGTAAATATGACGCACAGTTCAGATAACAGGCCGTCTTTGAAGCGCCCTCATGATTTGCCTGCCAGTTCTATAAATGAAGATGAAGCAGTCAGTCCCTATGTAAAAAAGAACAGGACTATTACCCAAGCACTGCCGACTTTGTCGGAAGTGAGCGTCCTACCCTTGCCTGTGCCGTCCACTAGTCGAACGGTAGATTCACCTGAACATGCGCCTCCCAACATTACTATTTCTGAAGAACCTGTAAATCTGCTTGAGATTCCAACGAAAGATCAGCAGAGTAACATTCGCAATAATGACGAGCAAAATCAGGCTGCATCCAGTACGATTGGGGATAACTCAGATGAAGTAAGATATTGCCAAGACACAATTGAATTGGACTCTGATGATGATAATTGTTATATCAAAACGGAGGATTATGCTACAATCAACTTGCAAGAAGATGACGATGATCTGCTCGATCCTACAGGAGATATGCCCCCAGATCAGATGATTGGGCAGGAAGGTGAACCAGGTGAGTGCCAAATAAATTTATAATTGTATCAATTGTATTGGTAGTGTAGTATTCTTACGTTGGTGTAGAGAATCTTTTGCAAATCAAATTACTTTTATGGTACAATAAATTAAAATATTGGATTTAATGGGATATATTTTGAGAAATTAGGAATACCATCTTCCAAAACAGTCTATATATAATTGCAAGCTGATCGCTTTATTTTAAACCGAGGTAAATCGTATTATTTAAAAGTTTGGAACAAAAACTCTTAACCATTTACTGACTTACACTAATGGATCAGTGCCAGATTAAAAAGTTAGATTGTGATCATTGTGAAATATAGTTTAATGGTAAGTAAATTATTTTGTTCGTTGTGTAAGCATTTTAAAATAACATAACATAACCAAATATGAGATTTATATTTTCGACTGAAGTAAATAATCGATTTCCAAAATTTAGCTAAAATGTGAAAATTGGTGGTGGTAGCCATGTGGGAGTACTTTTGGTAGCCGGTGGAGGTTAAATAGTTAAATAAATCGGTAAGTTAGGTATTTTTCACGCGTGCGGTGTTTTCTTTTTGTTTTGCAGTGGTTGTCACATTCTTGCGATCGCGAAAAGGTCGTTCAATCGTCGTGAACAACTACCGTTACTGCATCGGCGACCAGTCGAATTATTGGACAACGTGGCGATGCACGAGACGTCGGGTACATAATCAGGAAAACTGCCGGGCGGTGGTGTGTCTCACACGCGACTATCGTGTCGTCCTGAAGAATGCGCATAACCATGAAGCGCCTGGCACTGAGCATAACTTCCCCAGCGCCTTGGTCGTCCAGCAGCGCACTTGCCATGCTACTACTATGAATCGTCTTAATAGTTGGCGCTGCAATCTACAACGCGAGAAAGAACGGCAAACTTGAATTAGTGTAGTCATTAACTTTATTTGCAATCACGAATAAATGAATTGTAAAGAATTTTGCTTTTATTTCAAGATGCGTACATGTTTACAAAATGTATAGGAGTTATTGAATAAATAATAAAGATAAACTGTCACTGTCATTGCTTAGTTTAGGATGAGGGCAATCAGGCGCCAGCAAAAGCGTCGCTACATCGTGTTTCAATTACATGGGAAGGGAACGGAACGTTTCTGAGCTATAATCTTAATGCAAAATTTAAAAAAAATCTTAGATGATTTTTTGCTCGATTTTATATCCATTCGCTTCTTTCCTTTGTTTTTTTTTTAAGTTGGTTACGTATTCCGACTGTGTGGACGCGAACACTAATTATTATTATTTTTGTTGTAGTGTCCATTACGTTGTGCAGGTCGTACATCACGCAGAAGATCTGTGCCATTATTTGGGACGATTTTCGGTACATGCATAGAAAGACTTATAAAAGCTGGAGCAGCTGGCTATGCGGCAATGCAACGAGCAGGAAATGCAAAGCACGCCTTATTCTTACTTTTGATCGGCGAATGGTAGTCATTGACAGCCATACCCACGATAAGGGCAGGATCAAACGGATTGATTGTACAAACGTTCAGCGCACTTACTACACCATGTCCTATGCGAGTTGGAAAATCTCAAAGGGTCATTATCCCAGCAATCGGACGAAGCCATTACCATTAACTCATTAAATATGATTTAAGAAATGTTGTTTGTGTTTGTTCATTAATACCGTCTCTAAGAAAATATTTGTAGCTTGAATATAATATAATCAATATTATTTTGACATGAACTGCTCAGAATTTCAACAACCACACTTGTTACATTTCATAATTCGTCAAAACTTTATTAATTAGAAATGTGTATTATATTTTATTGTACGAGAATAAACGATATTATGCGAATTATAAATACTAAGAATACAAGAACTTAACTAAGTATGTAATTCATACAATAACAATCGTTTCAAACTTTACGCAAGATATTTCTCTGCTTGCCCTTAAGTTCAATTTCCAGGTAATCGCCTTCTGTTTTCGGATGGAACTTATATCGATCTGATGATAACTCTACCAGCTGATATTGTTGATCCAACGTACCAAAGTTGTACGGTAAACACCACTTAAAGACGTTACTTCCGCAGTTTTCATTTAAGTTGTTCCAACAGCCTTTATTGTAAGTCATTGCTGCTTCATACTCAAAAATAGGTTTATATTTTGATTCAACCATTGACGTATTCTTTCCTAATATAATTAGATTGATTGCAGCTAGAATTGCACATGCTATACCCAGCATGATTGTAACGATAGCACTCAAAACAATGTAGCTTATTCTAAGCCCAACATCTTTTCCATCTGACATTGCTTGTACAATGTATTCCAACTCGGTGGCTCCACAATAAAGATTCATTATAGCCACAAATATGTTCATGAAAATAAAATACTTCATATTTGTGGCACCAATACAGTTGTTTAAAAAGACACAATGGTGGTCCATGCGACATACGCACGTTTTGCATTTGCGGCAATGATAAGCTCTATCTGGTTTAATATGCTTACATTTGTAGCAGACTCTTTTTACTCCCTCGCGGGTTCGCATGTGTACGACGATTTTTCTTGTTTGGCACATATCGGCTATGATATCATCTTCCTCGTGCAAGTACGCTCTTAAAAGTTTTTGATATACCTCTTGAGGGATTTTGTATTTGTCTGGGACTTTCCATCCTCGATCACATACAGTTACGATAAATAAAAATAATGTAATGCAGTAGAAAATATGAAAAATTAGCAAGTAAACGACCTGCCTGCATGCAGTTGGCACACTGTTAAAGACAAATTCAATTACGTATGTGTAGTAACACAGTACAAAGGTAATACAAGTGCAAATGAACGGTAGTTGGTCGCACGACATTTTTTTTTGATTACGGAAAACGATGATATTTTATGACAAGGGAAAACAGTATTTTTACTGTCACGGCACCCCTGATTTAAATCAATATACATTTCAATCTATTAGGCAATATTATTTGGCACCTGATGAAATAACAGTCCGATGCGATTATAAATGAAAGATGACTAGTTGTAATGAAAAATATAATATAATCAAAAATTACCGCGATTTCAAAAATCCCTATATTTAAACATTATAATTTAAGGTTCTTTATATAAAAAAAATCATTTCTGCTTCCACCTTCAAAGTTCCAGTTTTTCCACTGTTTTGATATACAAAAAGTGGTGCACAAACACGGACCGTCAAGGCCGTGTCTATAGTACTTTAGTCACAGGATGTAGCTTGTAGCTGCGCACCTGCCTACGCTGCAGCACTTGACCATGTGAAATGCCATGCAGTGCGAGACAAGCAAGTCAAAACAGGCTGCTGATTGGGTTTAAAGTAGGCACTGCTGCTGCTCGTGTCGGCGCGGCACACACAATGCATTTCTCAGTAGTATGCGAATGAATTTTGAAAATTTATAATACAAAATCAACATCAATATCAACACCTCAACGTGGAACTAGAGTGGAAGTAGAAAAAGTAGCGTAAGCATCACGTGGCGAAACGTATTCAATTTATTTCCTACTATTCAATTTAATACAATTAATCTTTACATTTGGGACGGTTTTCTGCTCTCAATTCCTTCGCAACGCTCCAAGACACCTATTTTCCAGGCTTCAAATCTGCCTTTATTACCATACCTTCTCTTCTCTTTTGACGAAGCAATGTTAAATGAAGAACGTCTGCATTGGGAGAAAGGCATTAAAGAAGAGATATTGTCATTAATAAAAACTAATACATACGTCAAGGGAGATCCCAAGGGACAAATAAGCAGTAGTCTCAAAGCAATATTTCAAAGAAAGCAAAATTATGCTAAAAAAAAATGGTTGTTTGTAAAGTAGGTTTACGATCGAGATGTTTACGTGATAACGTCTTATTGGTGATATAAGTTTTGTTTGTTGCAATTGTTGTAACACTTCACTTGCACTTCACATTTTGTTTTACTGTTAGGCTCCCCGCACACTACAAACTTTTTATCGGCCGATAAAACATTCAACGTAAACTTAACCGCACGAGAAAATCTCCATTCGTTTGTATGCCGCTAGAGTGAGAGAGACGGAAGATCGGTCAACTCACTCGAACGCTATGACTGGCACGGAATGACTGGCAGCGCTCGAGATGAGACGGGAGATCGGTCCGTCTCTCTCTGGTTATAACGAGAGGGGGGTCGGAATGACTGGCAGCGCTCGAGATGAGACGGGAGATCGGTCCGTCTCTCTCTCGTTATAACGAGAGGGGGGTATACCTGCGATCGACCTCGCTCGTGACACAGTGTCTGAACAGTAACCCAATAAAACGATTTTAAAGACGTTATCACGTCAAAAGTGTTAATATATATTAGAGAATAAAATGCTTTATTCTGATGTTTGTACTCGATATAAAAGTACTCCATTCTTTCCGCTAAATGCCCAACAGCCTCCGAGTAATTAAAATGTTAACTCGATTCCTACTCTGACCACAAGTTTCCAGCAGAACTTTAGAAAAAATACAGGCGATATAGGCGCCTACATAAATCTTTGTATTGTTTAAAGTAGGTTACCCGGCAGTGGAACAAACGTTTTTCTGTAAACCCAAAGGATATAGCCAACCTGGTCACAGTATATTGGGGAGGCGAAGAACTAGGCGTACTAGCGTTCTCGGCCAGCGACTACGCGGGCGATCTGTATACTCGTCGATCCAGCAGCGGGTATTTAATTAAATTCAATGGTGGCTGAGTGTCGTGGATGTTCCAGAGGAAACATCTCGTGGTGTACCGTCCCTTGTACCAGTTTTCGCGTCATTAAAAGTATTCTTCTCCTATTTATCCCACGCAAGCTCCCTGCATTTTCGCATCAATTTGTGTCATCTAATGTTCATTTATCGGATGTGGGAATACTTCGATCGCATCAGTTTTTGAAAAACCTCACTGTATACCATTCTCACTCACGCTATACCTCAAAAATTAGACACTTTCTCAGCTTTAAAGTAAGACCCGCACTTGTTACCCGCGCTAGTACTTTTTGTTTTGTGGTTCACGGTCCTTTAACTCGCCAAAACCAACACTCGTAAAGTGCGTTTTTAAGCCGTAAACGTAGACATAGATGAACTTAATAACAATCACCATCATTTAATAAAGGAAGCAGGCCAACAAGGCCATATTATTATGATAACCCCTTCCGCAGTGAAGACAACGGCATAAAAAAGTCAAACTGGAAAAAATCCATGATTAATTACAGGAAATTTTCAGGGTATTAAATAACAGCAAATTAGCAAATCAAACGGTATCGATGTTTTTTTGGTTAAAAGTTGAATTAATGTTTGGTAGTTTTAATTTGGGGCAAAAAATTGGAGTATCACTTTATATTTTATATAATTCATAAAGTATAAAACCGGATATTTAACTGAGCTCACTAAACTTACGCTAGACAAACACAATCTATTAAATTCAACTTTTTAACGTTTGTCTAAATCAGAACTCAAATCAAATCTCCATTTTCTTTCAAACTCTACTTTAGTTCCATGCAATTTCAAAATTCCACATGGATTCTAATAACTGACTAGCACTCACATGACGTAAATCTGTCATTTTATATAACAAGCAAGGTGCGGACTTTTCATCATAAACTATGTAATGAGCACAATTCCTCAAAATATCAGATGATTTGGCATGGAAAGGAATTGATTTTATACGTGCAAATGCGACAGTTGATTCGCTAGGTGCACGTTTTAAAATCTTTCCACCTGCAATCTCAATCAGTCCTTGAATTTGTTCTTTGCTAAATGCAACACCCTTTACGTGAATGGTTGTTATTTGAGTTACTATATAAAAGTTCATCCCGTCCAACAATCTGGGAAGTCGATGGAGTCGGTTTTTCAAAGATCGTTTGAACCCTGCATGCAGAGCGTCAGGAATTAAATGTAGCCAAGCCATATCAGTGCATTTGATAAATCTTGATAAATCTACAAATACATATGTTCATAGCACACTTTGTTAAACCCGTAATAGCTTTCAAACCTGTTGATTTAATTATTGGCACAGCTTTCAACAATGCCATCAGAACTTTTGGGCAAAACAAATTTTGTGCATGTTTCACATTAATGGTAAGATGTTCCATTTGATTTGTAACAGTCAGCTTTTCAAGAAGTTGCATTTCAGCACGCCCCGTTGCCTTGGGTCCACATTTGGATGAATCGCAGTTAAAAACAAGAGTATTACCTCCTTTTAAGGACCTTTTTGCACTCTTCGAACTTGCATATGTGTCGCTAAATATAAATAAACAAACATCTATCATTACAAATACTCAATTCTAAAAAAATAAATTCAATAAATATACCTAGGGGTTCGTCCAGCAAGATCAGGCGCATCAGGATCAGCCCCGTAATTAATCAAACTATTAATTAAAGATTGAAGCTTTAGCTCAGTTGCCAGATGTAAAGGAGTGATGTAATTTGTTGCAGGAATATTTACTAAGCAACCAGCCCTCAATAAAAGTTGAGTGCAACATTCATCTTTGCTTTGTATTGCTTCATGCTAAACTCAAAGTTATATGTTGTTATAATGAGTGCAACTGATATAATATAACTTACAAGTGGTGTCCAATTACCCCAATCAACACAATTTACATCCATCCCACTGTCAATTAGCTGGTGAACCAACTCTGCATTTGCTTTTTTACATGCTAAATGCAATTGTGTTTCACCCTTTGCATTCCTTTTAAGCTTATCTTTGCATAATTGTACATTCTGGAATTCTGAATCAACCTGTGGCAATGGTGCAAGATTATTGTCACTTATTTGCAATGAAAGCATATTTTCAGAATTACTTAATGGGTCATTTGAATGAGTTGAATCTGTACTCATACTTTTTAATTTTTTTGCTGAATCCATTTGTTTTAATGATCTCTTTTTGCTTTTTTTAGATACTGACTTTACTTGATTTTCTTCAACATCAATAATGTTTGTTTCTTCACTGCAATTACCAACTTGATTCATAAGTTGTAGAACCTGAGAAATCTGTTCATAAGCAAGTGCATTTGCATTATTTGAATCAAGTTCCAGCATATATCTGCTGGTATCACTCTTATCTTTATTTACGGGATATGTTTTGTCAAGGTTGCCAATTTCTTTCATTATAGATGATACAAATGTGTTTCCACGATCAATGTTCATTGCTGTATAAAGTGTATTGCAGTTTGGGCAATGCTGTTTGCCTTGTATAACAAGACATTTAGTGCAGAATATATGACGACATGTCTTCAACAATATGGGTATTTGAATATCTTGAGTTTGACTGAAAAATGAAGCATATATTAGCATACATTACATATTAGGTTTCACACATTGGCATTTCATTAAGTTTATAAAATGTTAAATGCATGAAACAGTCATACCACTGTAACACCCTATCAGATGTTACCATGGAATTATTTCCATTAAAAACAAGTGGATACATTAACAACATAAAACTAAAATGAAATGTTTACCATTTTACACAAGAGTAGGAATTCTTCAGTTTATTAAATTCCTTGGTGAAGTCAATCTTTAGCTCTTTTAATTGATCCATGATTCACAAATGAATGATACTAAATTACAGGCATATAAACATGCTAGGTAAACATGTGGTAAACACAGATTTCCCGCTTCGAACTCTCTTGTGTAGCTACACGCTACTATGCAACAAGTTGCTGCACCATCTATAAATTATATAAAAACGTACATACGAGTACATGCATACCTATATAGATGTCGCTACTAAATTTGATTGCAATTCTTCGAGAAGGGAGAACTGGATGGATGGACAACATTTAAAATAATATAATAAATCACAATAAAAAAGACATATATAAACATTATTAAGACATATAATCAATTTTATCGTCATTTTAAAATATGAAAAGTAACAAAGTGTTTTTGTATTTATGATACAAACCATACAAACTCGATGTTTAGCTAATCTGTTTGGATGCACAATACGTTGCTACAAAAATTTTCTCTCTCTATTCCGTTGCCCGTATGGCAAATCCCAAAGGTGAAGAGACCTTCTCTCGCGACAAGTAACGTATGTATGGTTATCGGAGTGCTCAGAGGTATACGAGTATCATACTCGGAGTATGTCACGAGCGAAATAAACCGCGGACCATCTGAAAGGTAGGATACGACCGTAACACTCGATTGCTACCCTACTGTTTAAACTTGCACTTCATTTTTAATTATGACTTTATTGCGCATAGAATTAGTTTAAACTAAAGCTATAAGGCTTTTTCTTAAATATTCTGCGAGAAAATAGTTCATTCTTTATGGGGAAAGATCCAAAGTGTCGAAAGCCGGAGTTTCGCCGGTGAGGGCATCGTCAGGATTATTAAAACGGCACTTCAAAGACTCACCGGCGAAACAATTGTAGATTCTAATCAAATCCAGTGCAAATAGACTAAATAACGCTCTCAGTGAAAGTTCATTTGTATGAAAAAAATTATAAAATCATAGAATAAGTATTTCAGTGTGCAGGTACCTATATTTTTATGAAATTCATTTATTGATTTTGATATTTAATTAATTTAATTAAATTAAATGTTTAATTTGAAGATTAAGAAAATATTATATATAAAATCATTGCAAATTTAGGAACGTAGATATTCGCAAACAAAATATAACTTTTGTGTACAAATAAAATCATTCCATTCACGTCTTTTCTTTCCTACATACCAAAGACCGACGCAATTTTCACATACATTTGTTTCGTCGCACCAATTATTGGGACCATGGGAATGCCAGTTTGTGTACTTTAGTGGTCGGCCGGTGGATTGCCAAACGAAATGGCCCTCGTAACCAAGATCAGATGCGCCCACCCAGTAATTAGCCGTTTTAGGACCTAAAAGATGATCCAGCTGTTGTGCACGTGATTTGTGCAATAATATTTTTCAAGAAATATAAAAATTGATTTACCCATTTTGCGTAAGTGGCGTCCCAAACATAAGTCTTGTTCTCGCGTTTCGATTGATGCTAAAAACATATTATGATGTCGGCAAAATTCTGATGCTCTAAAGTAGTTTGTCCGAAAAAATGTACCGAGATAATATTTCTTTTTACCACATTTCATCAATAAGTTATCGGTAAAATTGAAATTATTAGTGAACTCAATCACAAGATTTATAGATTCTGAAACATTTAGTTAATGTTACAAATTATGTAATTTTTTGTCTACGAAATTACCGTCATCCGAATCATTATGCTGTGATTGTATTTCCGCAATACATATGACAAGGAAAACACTTATAAATTTAACAAACCACATGTTGATTACTCAGAGAGCTTCTTCCAAATAAGCTACAAAGTCCGAGGATTAAATTTAATGTATACTATAGATTGTGTGGGTTAAAGATCACATCAAAATTGCTAAAAATGTTTACATTGGATTAAACATATTTAGTTTCAATCTTAACGTCGTAAAAAAAGTAAAAGGAAAACAAATGTTATTATCTCTACGCACAGTGCGAGCGCTGAACACATTTGAATTTTAGTACTTATTGATTAGAAGATTCAGCTCTTAACATGCTAGAATTGACATGACGGAAAATTGGCGTATTTCGCGTTTGATGACTTTTTTGATTTTGACCGTGAACTTACTAGAAACATACTCGTATTAATTAAGAGAGAATTTCAAAGTATTTCAGTATTGGCGAGGTTTTCTTCATTATTTCTTGAATAGAATGCATAAGTTTGTTTTCAATAAAACAGAAATATCTAAGTAAGAAAATACTAAATGCATAGCACCAAGAAACATATTATATTGAAGAGAAACTCCTCCTTGTATGCACATAATGGTCTTTTAACGCTTAACCTTTTAGGTGAAATCACTTATGTCAGAGAATCATGTGTCTAGCGTTTTAAACGAATGAAGTTTATTCAATGAACCAACAATTTATTCAGCAAATATTTACGCCCCAATACTATTTATCCGCCAAATATACCTACTAAAGGTGTCGTTTGTCAAAGAGACTACCACCTACCAAATTTTATTTTATTTTTGTCCAAGCAATTAAAGTAGATTGAAATGCAACAATAATAAGTTATTGATGAGAATTTTAACAGTACGTTATAAGTTAATTCTTGCAACCGTTAAAGATTGTTTAATGTATGTTATGATAAGATATGCTTTTTATATTTTGTTATTATTTTGCCTAAAGATTATAGTAAGTCAAGGTCCAGAAATTAAAATACCTAACTTAAACTAATATAAAAATTAAATATAAACATTTAAAAATGTACTAATAGACTAATAGTTGTAATCTGTATATTGACCAATATAAGAACAAATTTTGAAGGTAATAAATCTGCCTGATGATGCCACAGTGCAGTGAAACATGTTGCAGTGTTCAATAAAGTTTGTGATACCTTCAAGATTTATTCCTTTATTTGACGCTAATTATGAAGTTTCATCACGTACCTAAGTGTCTCAATAATACAATACTTAATATGTACTATATACGATTATTAGTGCAAATTTTGTAGAGGTAGAAAGAACAAATAAAAAGTAAAAGCAATGGTGTGGTTTCCACTTTAGTAGCAATAGTGTTGCTCTACCTTTAACCATCCGGTATTGTCTAGTGGCTAGAGGTTTTCTAATTGTTCTAATTAAGACCGGGCTCCTTATAATTTTATGTAATTATATGATCCTATGTTTCAATTTCCTTCAACACCATATTTCGGTCAAATTATGTTGTTATCAACGCGATTAACACGAGTGAATTTCCGCAATTGTTTGCTCGGGGGCTGTTAGCCGGTAAAGAACAATCAGAAACCTATCTATTTCTAGTTCTGCCTTTATTTTAATGCATCGCTGCAAGATGAATGATACTATTCGAGCAAAACTATATGTGGTTCTCGGCGGTTGAAGCTTCGAATATAGGAGGGGTGTGATTTTTTGATCTTTGAAATTCGGAGAAATACTGAATATATTAATTATACTGTATTGAGTACCTACAAGTATATTGAACCTGACATTACATTTTTCATTTTAACCATGAGCGGCTCAGTTGTCATCACGGTCGATTATGGGGTGAAAGATCAGAGACAGTTAACATCTGCCTATACGGCAACTGATGGTAAATGTTAGGTACCTACTACGCCCTTTGTTAATCTTATTAAATATCACCGCAATAATAACACATAATAAGAACAACCAAAACGGTAGGTGGTTGCAATAGGTACTCAATCGTTTCAGTCAACTTTTCATTCAAATCAGGTCTACGATCGTATTGTATGATAAAGATTCGAGATTGAAAGCACTGAAGTCACCTTGAAACATTAAACTCATATTTGTTTTTGTCGCGGCGAATCAGCGCGCCGCGAATGTGATCAGACGGAGCAACGACTCGTGACGAAAAGGCGGGCATATTAGTTAATTCCCTGCATCTTATTGGTTATTTCACATTAACTCTTTGTTCAGTCAACATGCAGATTTTGGTACAATTAAGTATTTTTCTCGCAATATTTATAGTTGGAATTTATTCTGATAATTCTAATGATGGTAAATATATATTTCTTAAATGTCTTAACTAAGTTTAAATATTTGCATTATGTTTCAGAGTCTGTAGACATTGTAATTCAGGTCTCAACAAACGTCAGTTTTACTGACAAATTATTAATGCAATGTGGTGAAAAACGATATTACCTCGGTACTTTTTTCAAGACCAACTACTTTAAAGCATCTGAATTTTGCCGCAGCCACAACCTGTTTTTGGCTAAAATTGAAACGCTCGAAGAAGACTTATGCTTGGAGCGGTACTTAAAAATTTAGGTAGGATAATTTCAACACTTTCCTGAATTATGTTTCTGATCAAATTTTGTAATCAATAAATTTAGGTCCTAAAAAGGCTAATTATTGGTTGGGCGCATCTGATCTTGGCGAGGAAGGTGAGTTCGTCTGGCAATCAAACGGGCGTCCACTCAGGTACGCTAACTGGCAAAATAATAATCCCAATAATTGGTGCTGGGCAACAAATGTATGCGAAAATTGCTTAGGATTATGGTATGTGGACAATAAAGGACGATCATGGAACGATTTTAATTGTGGACATGACTTGTATTTTATTTGCGAATATATCGGTTCATAATAGCCATATCTCCTACAAATAAATAAATCAAAATACAATCTTTATATACTGAACAGCAATAATAAACAACAGATGTAACGACCATGAACTTCTAAATGCGTCGATTTTAGTTCATGACATTTATACCCTTATGCCTAGCTAAATTCGTAGGTATGCCAAGATAAAATGAAATGTACTTGAACATATAATTTTTCTGCTAGAATTCAACAATATTCTCAATACAATACATACAATACAGAAAATCGACTTTGAGCATAGGAAAGGTGTGCTTTTCAAGACAAACTTATTTACTAAACCTAACGATACATTTCTAATTTGAGCCATGAATGGTACAGTTGTCATCGCGGTCGTTTATGGGATGAGACAGTTAACATCGGCCTAAACGGCAACTGATGGTAAATATTACTACGTAGGTATATTCATTCTATTACGTCCACGATCGTATTGTATATTATGATAAAGATTCGAGAATGAACGCATTTAAATCAGATTGAAACATTAAACTCATATTTGTTTTTGCCGCGACTGATTCGCATTCGCGCAGTGCGGTTTTTTGTACAATCAAGTATTTTTCTCGCAATATTTATAGTTTCAGTTTGCCCACCCTCTCCTTGCAATCGTCGCCGATATTTGAGATATCCGTTATCGCTATTGGCTGTTTGAATTTGAAATGGTTCTCGACGTTTTTTAGTGTATTTATTATCTCGCATATATGGAGAATTAGAGTTTATATTCTTCTCTGCGTTCTCACAATAAAAACTTAAGTTGCATTAAATACGACATTAAAGTCATGAGTGCCAAATGGAACAGTTTCAACCGCAGTTTTGATAGTTTTATGAAGTGGTTATAAGAATGAAACAAATATTGTAGGCATCAAACTAAATCACTAGGCTGGGCCAGCATTGAACACCGAGTTAAATCCCCACTCTATAATTTGCGTATCCTTAAAAAAGATCACTGAAATACGCTTACTGCGCAGAAACAATAAGCAATCGTTTCGCCGAATTATCATTTTCAAACTCTTTTTTTTTAAGAGTCTGTGGAGTCCTTTGTTCTCCCGTCGGGCGTACGCCCGTGTTTGCGAGCGCTCGCGCGCCTGGCGCATAAGGATAAGCTACAATCACACTAAATGCATCTGCAACCCAATCGTCTGATCGGTGCCTAATATTTTAATTTCACCGTTTTTTCGTACATAAGAACATTCTTCCAGAATCAAGCTGAATTTTTGAAAACTGTATTGAAATACGTTATATATTTTAAGAGATTAAAAGCTCTAGACAGCATGAGCAACTACGAGTACATTTATTTTAAACTACGTATTAAAAATATATGTATGGGCAGATCCATTAATTCTTGACGAAAATGTGCGCACTTAGGTCAACGATTTTGATTTCATTTTTTTCATTAAAAGTACATCTTAAAAGAAAGCGATCCTGAAAATTGGGGCTCGATATAATCAGATTCAGCCGCTGAAATTTTTTTTGAATTTTCAAAAAGTTGTTATTTCACTGATTTTTAATAATTTATATCTTAGATTCTATACAACTTAGAGGCGTCTACAAAGCGGCGTTCTTTTTAGTAGACTCTCTACTTTTGAGAAAAAAAAAATTGAAATTTGGTCTAAACTGTTTTGATTTGTTTTACCTACTTGTAAAACACTAGTATATGTACAGTGTTTGAAGTTAAGGATCGACCTGCAGCTGATGTCTTCTATTGGGGTATACTTAAATAGAATCTTTGCAGTTTTTGCTTGATTGCTTCTATTTAGGTAAAGTTATAGCCGTCCAAAACCGGTTAAAATTTAAAAAAAGCTGTTTTCAGGTAACTAAAACTTTTTTCTCCAACTTTGATTTAATTCAAATTTTCAGGAGACTTGCTCGGTTATATTCGTAAGTAGTCCTGAAAATTTGAACAATGTTATCGGATTTATATCCGAAATATAAATTTTTTAAACGACAATTGCTATTAG